TAGCAAGTTGTTTTTTTTTTTTTTGGCACCATTCTCATTTTGTCAGTGTGAGTTCGGCAACTGCTTGCTAAAATCCGGCAACTCTCAGTCTTAATAAGTATGAACAAATATGGCTGTCTTGTCGTATGGGGAGCCATGCATGAACCGTATCGCTTCCCTCTGCTGCTGAGAAACTCAGCAGGTGACGCTTGTCACCCACAGCACACATGCGACAGACTAACCTCAAAGCGAGAGCGTTACCTGCCCCTCTTCTTCTTTCGCTTTAACAATTTTTTTTAAGAATACAGAAGTAATGTTTAATAAATGTTTGTCTTGCAAACGCAAAGTTCAGTCCCCTGGCAAGAATCTCTGTCTCCGGCTGGGTGAGCCGTCTGTCAGATAAATTCTTCAACCACTTTTCTGTCTCCCCGTCGTGTAAGACCAATTGTTAGCATGATTAACTCTGTCACTTACAATGTTTCCAAATATCTGGCGTCTGTACTCATCCCTTTAGTTGGCAGCTCAGACACCACATACAGAACACCATGGACTTTGTGGACAAGGTGAGGGATGTCATCATGGAGACTGATGAAACAATGGTCTCTTTTGATGTCACATCACTCTTTACGTGCATTCCTGTTGATGATGCAGTAGAGGTGGTCAGTTTAAGATTAAAATCAGACACCACTCTGAGCAGCAGGACCACGCTTTCTACAGAACAACTGTGTCAACTCTTGAAACTGTGCCTGCAGTCAACCTACTTCACATATGGGGAGCAATATTATAGGCAGAAACATGGGTGTGCTATGAGGTCTCCAGTTTCTCCTATTGTTGCCAACCTGTACATGGAGGAGGCAGAAAAGAGAGCCTTGACGTCCTTTACAGGGACACCACCAAGTCATTGGTTCAGGTATGTTGACGACACCTGGGTTAAAATTAAATCTCAGGAAGTCCAACATTTTACTGACCACATCAACTCTGTGGATAAATACATCAAGTTCACACGAGAAGATGTAAAAAATGGCAGGTTGGCTTTCTTGGACTGTGAGGTCTCAGTCTCTGATAGAGGACATTTGCAAACTGAGGTGTACCGCAAACCCACACACACAGACCAGTATTTGCAGTTTGACTCCCATCACCCTTTGGAGCACAAGTTAGGAGTCATCAGGACTCTGTACCACAGAGCAGACAGCGTCCCCACTAGCTCAGGAGCCAGGCAGAAGGAGAAATCCTACACAAGACAGGCTCTAGAGCAATGTGGATATCCTAACTGGGCCTTCCTGAAAGCAGAGAAGAAACCCAAACAGGACTCCAGTCAGCCAACAGGTGAAAAGGAGGAACCCAGACCCAGACCAGTGGTCATTCCATATGTTGAGGGGGTATCAGAGAAACTGAGACGTTTATTTTCTAAACATAACGTCCCAGTGGCTTTTAAACCCCAAAATACATTAAAGACTGGTTCATCCCAAAGATCCAGTCCCCCGGCACAAACAGAGTAATATTGTGTATGCTGTTCAGTGTCAGGAGGGTGATCAGTCTTACATCGGGGAAACTAAACAGCCACTGGCCAAAAGGATGGCCCAGCACAGAAGATCAACATCATCAGGCCAGGACTCTGCGGTCTACACTCATCTCCAGGCCAGCAGTCACTCTTTCAACTGTCCCCCTCTTACAATGCTGTGATTGCTAGTATCACTCAGCCCTCTGTGAATAGTAAACAGCCATCAGGTGCTAATGATCCATTGTTAGGCTGATGGTCCTTCTTGATCATGTGATCAGCTGGTTCTGGTTGTCAGCAGCAAACTGGTTGATCCACTCTAAGAAGGTGCTATTTATAAAACTGAGCTGAATACGGCACCTCAGACTGAAGAAGTCTTTCGGATGAGAGTCGAAACGTTTCTACATTTTTTTTTTTTTTGGTTTGTTTTTTTTGAATGTCCAGAGGACCAGCTTTAACTTTTTTGGACCTGTTTCATAGTAATTCTGTTTTAAAAATAACAATTTCTTCTGTATGTCAGTTTGTAGTTCTTGATTTATTTAATCTCTGATTTGTTTTATTTTCTTTAGAATTTCTGTATCTACATTGCTTAAATTTTTATTTTTTTCTCTAATTCAGCCAGTTTATGTTCCAGGTTTTCCAATTTCTCTTGTCTAGTTTTTTTTAGAGATGATTTTGCAATTATAAACCGGATTCCAAAAAAGTTGGGACACTAAAGAAATTGTGACATTTTTTTACCTGACCCATGTCCTTGTTGTACATGAAAAAAATAATTGATTCTTGAATATGAGCAGTGGGCTGCTGAGTAAAATGTATAATCCCTCCTTCAGGGGTTTAGCTCTCGCCAAACGTCACTTATCACCATCTACGTCATCATTTTTCTAATCTTTTTACCTATTTTGTTGTTAATTGTGAGTTTTTTGGAGGGATCTTCACCTGGATTCAGTCTTATGTTAAAGTCTACACCACAAATTACTGTACCTCGTGCTTTAGTTATCAACAAGTCAAAAATATGTTTATAAAAATCCACTGAGAGCCTGTGGGAGCATACACATTGACAAAGGTCATTTCTAGACCCTCGAGTCTGCCAATCACCATATTGTATGTCCCTTCTTTATCCTTATATTCAGAAATCTTCCCAAAAGCCACTTTTTCAGATATCGATGTTGCCACCCCCCTTCTGCGTCCTAATTTATGCGATGCACTGAATACCTGACTAAAACTCTGTCTTTTTAGTTTACTATGGTCTATCTCGGAGAGATGTTTCCCGAAGAAACACTACTTCTGATTCAAAAAAGTTCAATCTGGTCCTCTGGACATTCAAAAAAAACAAAGCAAAAAAAATCTAGAATTCCCATTCTAGATTTTTTTTGCTTTGTTTTGTTTTTGTTTTTTTTTTGAATGTCCAGAGGACCAGATTGAACTTTTTTGGATTTTTCTACCTGGATTATTGAGCATGCATCAGGATATTACTTCTGATTTTTCTTTTTTCATTTTCCCTAGTATTTTAGCCCATTTTATCGGGTTAAGAACTCCTTTTACATTATATGTTGTGGTTTTTATTGGTGCAGACAAAGTCATAAATTAAAGATGATCAAACACCCAGATCAAACCTGATAAGTGACCGTTTGGCTACTCAAAAACAGAAAAACATTCAACAGTTTGAACAATTTGACTTTGTAACTTAAGTCAGACTTCCTTTTCTTTGGTCATATCAGTGACCTTGATGGTGTGATAGAGTGACTTTGAAGGAGAACCAACACAACTCTGTGGTTGTGGAGGGCCCTCTAGTGGCGTTACCTGATTGCAGCGGTCCATTTGCTTTTTTTTTTTTTTTGTGGTCCGCGACTCGTATTCACTTCAGACAAAAATGTGTATTCAGCTCATCTACTCCTTCCTCTCCAGCCTTTAGCTTGTCAAAGTCAATTTCCTGTAGTCCTTCATGGCTTTGCTTGTTATTCCCTTCTGTCAGCATCCAGTTTCTTCTTGTATCCCTCCTGTGTTTCATTTTTTGAACGCACCTTGTCCATCTCTCTCGGTTTGCTCCACAGTGTTTTGATCTTGTCAGCCCACGTTATAGAGGGTTTGATAGCAGTGACTGCGAAGCCTCGCCTCACCATGTCCTTTGTCGCTTCAGCCGCAGAGTTGTAGACTTTTGTGTCACCTTCGTAAAAATCCCTTAGTTTGGCTGGGTATGGGGTCTGAAACTTGATCTTTTCTCTCAAAACCTGCTTTGCTTCAGTGTACTCACGTAGCCGTTTCAACACGTCTGGGGCATAATCATGGTCAATTATTACTCTTTTCCCATCCATCGTAAATCCCTTCTTTTGCCAAGTTAGTTTTAATACTTCTTCCTTTATTCTAAATGTGGTGAACATGACAATTTTTGAGCATGGAGGTGCATCAAGCGGGCCTTTAGATCCCAGCAAATGGTGCGCTCGTTCATTACTTAAGTTAAATGGTGTCAGAACGTCTAATTTTTCTCTGAGTAGATTTTCTATGAAGGCTGAGATAGAGGGAGAGTTGTCCTTCGTACCTTCTGGAATGCCCTAGTGTCTTATATTTTCCCGTGTCGATCTCCCCTCGAGCTCCGTCATTTTTGCCTCGAGCTCATCGTGTGCTTTACTTATCTTCAGAGCTACCCCTTCGATCTGCTGAATCCTATCTTCTGCTTCCATAATGTGTGTTTCTGCTTCGTCCAGTCTTCCATTTATGCTTTTTATTTCCTCCTTAATTTCCCGGAAGCCATTTCCATTTTCACGACGTGATTCTCTTAGTTCTTGGAGGATAGTTTGTAGATTGGCCACCTCGCTAGCTGTATCGTTAGCCGAAGCTTCTGAGTGTGAGAGGCTAGCCGTGCACTCGTCATTCATTTCTTCGTCTGGAGCCGTCATTTGACGGGGTGGCAGAACACTTTTGGATTTCGCTTTAGGCATTTTATCTCACTCTTTTAATATACGGTATTTCCCATAGTTACGTAGAGAAAGGAGACTTTTTGGAATATTTGTTGAGGAGCCACTAGTTTATGCTGTCGCCATCTTGCTTGCTCACCCGGAAGTCCAAATAATTGTTTTTAAGTGTTAATCTTGTTAAATTCTTGTTAAAGTCCTCCCGTGCATGCTCCAGCGGCCGCCATTTGGCAGCCAATTGATTTTTGGCACAACACCGGCCCACATCTCCAGGTTGTCAGCAGTGACACATAAACGTGACGCGTCAGTGGTGACATATAATAGATGCAACTTATACAGCGAAGCAACGTATTTATGTTTTTTTTCCCACTTTAATAGACTTATTTGGACTGATGCGACTTATAAGGCGGTGCAACGTGTACGGCGGAAAATATGGTATCTTGAAATCGTTTGAGTAAACGCGTAAAATAAACTGGGTCCTATTAAGCCCTATTAAGCAATAGCAAACTTTATAATATTGGAAAATAACAAAATAAAATTTAATATTACTGGGTTAAAAAAATAATAAATAAAAAAAATCACATCCTATTTTGTATGTGTTTATACATAAGCACCTCTCAACTGCAGATATCTCAACTCCAGCTGAATTGTTGCTCCCAAACTTGAACGTAATAAGTTCTGGGTGCTTCTTTTTGGATGTGATCTTCACCACGGAGCTCAGAGCTTGTCTGGACTGGATGTAAGCAAATCCCTTCCTGGAGGCGATCTCCCTCAGGCAGTACATGTGAGTTGCTGTGATCAACAAGTGACTGACAAACGCACAAAAAAGATCAGAGTCGTTATAAAGATTAGGGAAATGGGATGAGTTGTCTTTAACAGGAAGTAGATGTTCAAGTGTTGAGCAAAAGAAGATGTTTTCACACTCATGATCCTAAGTCAGTCAAGCAGGAAATGGAGGGACTCACCTGGGGAACATGTGACCTGTTTCTTTCACCTCGTTGCATGGAATGTGATGTTTTACATCTGGTTTATTTATCCAAGTTTGAATGTTCACAATCTCCTTCCTGTCATCATCCGAAATGGAAGAGCTGTCGATCTCATCTAAGAGGAGAACATCAGATGGCCGTTATCTGCTTTCTCAAACCCACATTTCAAACTGGTTTTGTACTTGATCAGCATTTACCTGTGTCATACTCTTCTTCATCACCAATACTGAAGACAGGCTTTACGCCCCGGTAAGGTTTGCCAACTCGATCACTGCTGCTCACGTGCCTGTGAACAGAAAGCAACAAAGTTCACTAAATGAAGGTTGTGAGGATGTCATTACTCATGTTCATTAAATATGTAACCTGAGTATGCGCACAAAAAGCAACAACAAAGATTTCTAGGCTGCAGTGAAATAAAGCTCCCCCTTACGGCCACGGTTAAGTTGTTAAATATAAAAGAAAAGGTTAAATGAGACTCTTCTAGGAAACACCTTAGTTCTTGTATGATATTCAGGGTTACTTGTAATCTTTACTGTTTTCATTTGTAGAGCCCTGGGTATCATCTAAGAAGACCATGAAATGGAAAAACAGACTGTTTAATGTCTCTCAAAAGCAAAGAGATAAAGAGTTTTGCCTTTAAACAAGAGCCTCAGTATTTTCAGGATGTAAGTCGGCACTTCCTTAAATGCTGCAGCAATTCCAAATGTTAGTAAAAGCATGAAAGAAACTTAAACATAGCCTGCACTCCCAGGATGGGAGGATGGTGTCACGTTGTGAGTAAGCAGATTAGGCCGAGACACTGCAGCGAGGCATGCTTTAATGTGTCTGCAGTCCCAGAGGAGTGTGGGCCTTCAGCAGGTGAGCATGCTGCGAGACACAACCCAACATTTCAGAGCTCTTACCCATCTGGAACCACCTTCTCAGGCCAGGGCAGATTAAAACTTATTCTAATGTGGAATAAGGCAAAAGGGACTTTATTTTATGCTTACAACAAAACTCTATAATTTACACTCAGAATGACCATCAGGAGGAATACCCAGCTGCTATAAAACAGTCCCGTAAAAATGAGGTTGCATCATGTGGTCAGTATGAGGAGGTATTTAACCTAAACATAAAGATCTAAAGAAATAAAGTCAACACCTCTGGACGGATTTTTCTTGTTGAAACGTTTAGTCTTTAGCTAGGTTTACACGGACAAAAGCAATCGGATTGAACGGCCATTCGGAAAAGAAATGTGTCATTCAGAGTCAGAGAGTCAGAGATTCTTTATTGTCATTCGCACCTCATGTGGTACATGTGGTGGAGCGAAATTATGTACACAAGGTCCCAGTTACATCCAACAATAAAATGTATAAGAAAAACAGTAATAACATCTAAGATATGAACTAAGGAAAACATCAACTAAATATACACTAAGCACTCATAACATAAAACATTGAACATCAGCACAAACATGAACATGAGTCTGTGAGCAGATGTGCACGCATGAACACATCAACATTGAAACAGATCAGCAGCAACATGAAACAGATCAGCAGCAACATGAAACAGATCAGCAGCAACATGATATGGTTTTTCACAGAGATTATTCTAGTTAGAGATTCATGAGTCTAACAGCCTCAGGGTAGAAGCTGTTCCTCAGTCTAGTGGTTCTACACTTAATGCTCCTTAACCTCCTTCCTGAGGGGAGTGGGGCAAAAAGTGTGTGTGCTGGGTGGGTGGGGTCCTTCATGATGCAGGTGGCCCTCTTCCTGCATCTGGAGGTGTAGATGTCTGAGATGGTGGGGAGACTGACTCCAACATCTTCTGTGCAGCCTTCACCACTCTCTGCAAAGCTTTTCTTTCTGCAGCTGTGCAGCCTCCATGCCACACGTTGATGCTGGAGCACAGGATGCTCTCCACTGCACACCTGTAGAAGGAGGTGAGGACTGAGCTCCCAGACCAGCTCGTCTCAGCCGTCTGAGGAAGTAGAGTCTCTGATGATCTTTCTTCATCAGGCTGGTGGTGTTGTTGCTCCAGCTGAGGTTGTTGTTCATGTGTACACCCAAGTACTTGTAGCTGGAGACCACTTCCACCGCAGATCCTCTTATGTTCAGGGGGGTGTAGGTGTTTTTGTTCCTTCTGAAGTCCACAATCATCTCCTTTGTCTTCTTCACATTGATGTGAAGGTTATTCTCTTTGCACCAGCTCTCCAGGTGTTCCACCTCTTGCCTGTAGCTGGACTCTTCATTGTTTGTGATGCATCCCACCACCGCTGTATCATCTGCAAACTTTACAATGTGACAGCCTGGATGGGTAGCTGCACAATCATATGTGAGCAGAGTAAACAGGAGGGGGCTCAAACGCCCCATTCGGATTATTTTTGTTGATTCAGCTTGATTCAAAAGAATTTGTAATCAGAATGAGACAGGTGGTTTATGCCGATTCATAATCCGAACGGTGTGCATGTAAACACTTAATCTGTTCATTTTGTTCCGATTGTGGAAAACTGACCTGACTGCACATGTGCAACCTCTATCTGTCTACCTCACGTATTTCTGCCTGGCTAATGCTATGTCGGGGAAGCAAAACTGGTCAGTGAGCGACACAACATTTCTACTAGAAACTTTGAAAGAGCTCAAAATTATCTGTATCACCTGTAGCTCAGTCAGGGAGTGCAGTAACGTCTCCACCATCATTAAAACCTGTCGCAGGTACATTTTGGGTGCTCAGGTTTTTTTACGTTCATCCCGTTAGTAGAACTTCTTCTGTATTTTTTTAAGGAGAGTTTACCACTCTGCGCATGTGTTAAGAATTAAAATAAACTTTGATTATAAATGGTGGAAAATCGCATAATACGTGTTAATAGATATGATTTTTAGCTTATGTGAAATCAGTTATTTGGGCGCCAAGAGGGGTTGTGGCATAAACCTGATTCTATCCTCTCCGCTCAGAAGCAGAGAGCGGAGACAGGATGCATGCCTGTTCTCTGTGTGTGTGTGTGTGTGTGTGTGTGCGTGCGTGCGTGCGTGTGTGTGTGTAATGGCAGGCCTAGATGTTCTCTGTATGTGTGTGTACAATGCAGAGTTGCAAGCTTTTCCCAGTGAGAACAGAGCGCAGAGTTGCAGACATATGGAAAAATGGTTAATGTTTTACAGTCATATCTCTCATTGTTAAATGGGTACTATTATATTTGAAAAGTGATTAAATGTGATTCTAAGTGATTAAAAAACGTATTAAGTCAGAGCATTGTAGTTAAGAAATAATCAGTAATCTAGAATGTTTAAGTGTATGAACAGAATAACCCCTTTTGTTGGATTGAATGAACCGAATAACCCACGAAGAAAGAGAAGTTATGAAATACAGCTCTGAACAGTTGAATTACAACGCCCTAGCAATAAAGTTACTCCTTTGTGCACCAAAAAAAGAGCCAATTACAGCCTTACAGTAGAAATGTTACACCCAAAGAGGCAGGTCCGAACTAAGTCTGAGACTGGACACGTAGCACTATAAATAAAGCTCACAGATCCAGGCTGAAGTTTTGGGGATTTAGTCGAGACAGGATGGTCTATGGACTGCTCTCAACTGTTGAGGGGATTTGGACAATTCGAAAAAGAGACTTCTTTTTTAGCAAAGTTAGGAGCTTCTTTTTTAACATTCAGCCTGGATTAAACCAAGTCAAGTGTTAGTATATTGGGTTTTCTGATCTGCTCAGAGACGGGATTATAATGAAATTATAACCCAGTTCTGACTGGTTTAAACAGGGCCAGCTACTCTAAAAAAAGTCTCCCAGGGATTCAATATCTGTCAAGGAATGATTTATTTTAGGGATGCACAATATTGGATTTTTGGACGATATCCGATTTGTTAAAACTTATTTGGATGATAACTGATGCTGATACCGATATTTTATATACGTTCCTTTGTCAGAACATAGCCCTCTTATTTAGGCTTATTTGCTACAAAAATTGTGCAACAGCTGTAAGCGCTAGTGACATATATTCAGTAACAGCCATATGATATGCATAGCACTTTAACTTATATAATGAAAAGTGTTAAATGTTATTTATTAGCATAAGTCACCTGTGATTCTGTCTCACTTGTGGCGGCTTGTTCCGAGTTCCTAGCTGCAGTGTGGGATCCTCTGCACTCCTGTGCATGAATGACAGCCTTTTTAAGTTCAAAGTGTTTGTCTATCCATTGTGCCGTAAGACTAATTATGCTAACGGGGCTAACACGACGTCCAAATAACTGTGGTAAAACTCACCCAACAAGTCATGCTATCGGTTATTAGCTTCTCAACAATGGCGGAGATGATGGCTTGTAACTCGGGTAATGTTACGTCAGAAAAATATTTCCGACTGGGGACGATGTAGCGAGGCTCAATGTAGTCCATAAATCTTCAGAATCCGACATCCTCACCAACGAAAAATAAAACTTTCACATGGCCGACATTTTGAATTTTCCTCTCCACCATGAGATCGGGTAGGTGCACGTGATGTCATCATGTGCTGCCGCTGCAGGCAAAAGCAGCGCCTTTTATATTGGCGAGTTATTTTAATGTAATGGCCGATGTCCGATATTGAATTTTAACGCTAATATCGGCCTATACCGATACCATGCCAATAATATCGTACATCCCTAGTTCATTTTGCTTGCTACATCACGCAGAAAATGCATTTTAAGCACCGGTTCATTTTTTCCTTTCACATTAACTCACATAAGGTCCAAAAGAGACCACAATTAGTCCCTCCTCTCATACACTGATAAGTTTTGCTCCTCTTTGGCGAAGGAGGAGTCTAGGCCTTATAAATTTGTAATGCCACGGGACATCCGGCCATTTCATTTTCTGATCTTGCGTCATAGACTGAACTGGCCTGCGCTGTAAACTGTAACCTTCTCCTGCTTTGATTTTAATACAATTGGTAAAACTGAATTCATGTTTACTTTATTAATAGTGTGAGTTGTCGCTTCTGACGGGGAACTGAGCCGAGGATGGCGTGGGCTGGAGGCGGACCTGGGGTCCGTTGAGGCCTGAGGCCAACAACTAGCAACAGCTAGCTGCAGTGACCCAATTTCAGTTCATGTTGTAACAGCTTGGTGCCATGACCCCGTCTCCTGTCTTTAGAAGTGGCAGGTCGTTTCTTATTTTTTAATGGTGACACAGCGGCAAGTGACCGAGTCTTCGCAGACTGTACAAGCCAGCTATTAACATCTCATGAGGTAAGCAGAAACCTGTTAAATCGAATTTCGGTGTGTCCCTTAAGGACTGACGGTCTGCTCTGTTTTCGGTCCTATGCTTGCAGTTTAGTGAACTGAAAGGTAGTAGAACATTATAGTATAATACGTGATTTCGTAAATGTAATTATCGGACGTAAACGTTTATATATGCGACTTTTTTTCCGCTGCAGCGTGCAAGGGAGCAGTCTGGAAATGCTAGCAACATCGCTAACTGGAAGTTGTCCGAGAGTGTTATAAACACGCAAAACGCTAATTTTTCCCTAAAAAATAATAATTGTCTGGTTGATTTAAAAGCCCGTACATAAACTTTTGTTTAATTAGATAAAATTAAATGGTGTGACTGCAGGTTTGAAGCCCCACGTGGAGATTGTAATGTAATTTTTGCTGACGGTAAAATCTTTAAGAGAAGTGTGCGCAGTCCGAAGACGTTCCAGGTGTAAATGCCTGCCGCTGTTTACTAGAAACGTGTTAAAACTTGGACATCAGGAAAGTGTTAAGAGGTGTTGGTCGTCTGACGGTTCGAAGAAACTCTACTGGGTTTTGGGTGCCTGTGGGGAGCTTTGCCAACTCTCTGAAAGAAGTTGTCGGCCTAGGGATCCCATTTTGCGATAGCCCCTGTTAGGTCTGCATTTGGATGCAGACTGGTCAACGGCACAACGGTAATCAACATGTTAATTACAGCTGTGCTCTTGAAACGGGAGGATCTTTAAAATAACTATAATACAAG